CACATCCACCAAGTGCAGCTCCACAACCACCTCAACAGGAATCACTCGGTAAAAGTTTATTATCTATGTTTGGAGGATCAAGTCCTCCTCATCCTCTCCCTCAAACCAAGTCTGCTGCTGATGTACCACAACAGGGAATTGTTCCTCCAAAAGACCCCCCAAATACTGGGTTCCTTTCGATGTTTGGTGGTCCCAGCAACCAACAGCAAGCCCAAACAGGATCTCTTCTGGGGGGAATTATGCCTGGGTCATCAGGTTCAACTGAAAGCCCAATGAAGGGACTGTTTTCAATGTTTAGTGATCCCAGTCCTCCACAACCTCAGCCACCAACATCATTAAATCAACAAAGAGGACCCAATTCACAAACTCAACTACAAGGGGAACCTCAGACACAATCTAAGCCACAAGCACAAGGGCAGCCAGCCACCTCTGTTCTTGGGGGAATATTTGGTGGTTTGTCTACCTCTAGTGAAAGTCCAAGAAAAACTTTGTTTTCTATGTTTAGTGGCCCCAGTACTCCGCAAACACCAGGAGCTGGTGGAAGTGCAAATCGGTCTACTTCCCCAGTAACTGCAGCACCCAAAGAACCTGCAAAGAGTATACTCTCTGTATGTAATGATGTTGTGTCACCTCCACAACAAACTCTTAATTCATCATCTGCTGTTGTTACTGATACTAAAGAGCCACTATCAGCACAAGGTTCTTCCCAAATGTCCTCTGTTTCCAGTCGCCATGCCCCAGTGGCAGCAGCTGCCCGTGAAATATCGAGTGAAGTGAATGTTGGCTTATCCACTGGGACTACTGTAGATACTAAACAGGATGCCAAAATGAAAGGCACTGATACTGTATCTATGGAGCCAAATTCTGAATGTGTCACTATGCAAAAGAAAACTGGCACAGAAGGTGCACCCCAAGACCCTGTTCCTTCAAAAGAACCACCAGCTTCTGGCCTTCTGTCTATGATCAGTGGATCAGGCCCACAGGCTCCATCCTCGCAGACAGCATTTGTTTCAGACAGTTCAGGAAAAGGTTTGCTTTCATTATTTTCTGGGCCCAGCATGGAACCTAGTGCTAGCCAGATAGGTCCATCACCTACAGGGTCTGAGCCTGTATCATCAGGCCCCAAGGACCCACCAGCTACAGGTTTGTTCTCTCTGTTCGGAGGTTCTGCCCCTCTGACCTCTTCGCAATCTGGAAGTTCTCTATTAGGGGCAGTGTTTGGAGGCTCTTCACCCCAAACACCAGCTTCTCAAACAGGTGGGTCATTACTAGGTGGTTTATTTGGAGGGTCTGCTCCTCAGGCTGGTCTCACTAAGCTTGGAGTATCTGCTCCTCCGACAGCAGGCCCTCAAGCAGGGGCATCCTTACTTGGAGGCTTATTTGGTGGATCTGCTCCCCAGGCTGCTGGATCACAGACAGCAGGGTCTATTTTGGGCGGGATTTTTGGAGGATCAGCAGCTTCAACAACAGCACCTCAGACTAGTGGGTCCTTTGGTGGATTGTTTGGAAGGGCTGATAACCAAACTTCAGCACCCTCAAAAAGTAGCTCTATATTGGGAGGTATTTTAGGAGGATCATCTTATCAAACAGCTACAGCGCAGACTGGTACATCTCTTCTGGGTGGCATTTTACCTGGAGCTTCAGCTCCTCATGAGATACCTGATATAAGTTTGCCTTCTATGCTTGGAGGATCTGTTCCACCCGCAACACCCACTACAGCAGCTGCACCAAAATCCAATGATGACAAGAAAACTTCAATTACAGCTGTTATCGACACTACTTCAGATGCAACTGTTCTACCAAAACCCAGCGATGACAGGAAAACTACTCAAGCGCTAGATGGTCCTGAAATTTCTGTAATTGATACAGCTACCAAAAGCAAAGAGCAGGCAGAAACACCACAGTCACCTGGCAGTACAGTCCAGTGTCTTGAAGCAAGCTTAGCCAAAACTGATGGCAATTACACAGAAAAAGTTCATTGTCGAGATGCTGACAAGCCAACTACCTTAGCTAATGATATTCAGTTTAAAGAATCTGAAATCTGTGCACAAGCAAAACAACTTGAAGGACCAGAGCTTGTGAGTGGCCAGTTAAGTGAAGATAAAATAACTCCTACAGTAGAAGAGGGAACATCAGCCACTCAATCAAGTACTGTTGTACAGGGACAACAAAAGCCTCCAGAGCCAGACAAATCTGTTGGTGACTCAGCAGCAGAGACAGTTACAGGCTTTATGTCATCCCTTTTCAAACCAACAGTTGCTCCTACTGAAGGTCCTCAGCAACAGCAGAAGAACTCACTTTTTGTACTGGGAGGAATTGCACCCCAAGCTGCTACTGGTCAGAGTGGAGCATCCCTATTAGGAGGTATTTTTGGAGGGTCCAACACTGAGACAGGAGCTCCTCAGACCGGGGGATCATTATTGGGAGGTTTATTCAAGGGGTCTGGTCCTCAGTCTGGTACTCAAACCACCGCCCCCACCACTGGAGGGTCATTACTAGGCGGGATGTTTGGAGGAGGATCCCTTGCAAAGTCTGTAGGTCCCCAGACAGGTGGATCGTTACTGGGTGGGATGTTTGGAGGATCTGCGGCAACGGCACAGCCTGGCGGTTCTTTACTTGGAGGAATGTTGGGAGGAGTCACTGCTCAGACTGCAGGATCACAGACTGGAGTATCAATACTTGGGGGCATAGGTGGATCTTTGTTTGGGGGTATGGGACAAACACCTAAGCCATCTGAACAAATGCCCGCTGAGCCCAAGCAAATGCCCGGCGCTACACCACAGTCACAGATTAAGAATGAAAGTGTGCCACCAAAAGGGGCACCATGTGGTACTGAGACTAGCGTAAATAAAATAGTGGACTCAACCTTACCAGATAACGATCAATTAAAATGTAGCAGCCTAACAAGTTCTGGTGCTGTGGCATCTGAGGCAGTTAGTTCAGAAACTTCTGCTGTAACAAATGCTTCAAGAAGCACTACATGTGACCTTACCCATCAAGTAGAAAATACTAAAGGAGAGATGGAGGCAGAGATAATACATGAGAAGCCCATGGTCATTAAAGGAGATCTTGATAGTAAGGAAAGTGACACATCAGCACCACCTGATACCAAGGAAGCGGATACTAATAAAGCATCTCCAGTTAATCAATTGCCCAACAATGCAGAGCCACCTCAAGCTAAGTCTCTGTTCGGTTTTATGTCGACACAGAGTGATGCAGGAAAATCTCTTGGATCCCTATTTTCACCAACAATGTCATCAGGTGCTCCATCAATGCCTCAAACAGAAGGAGTGAGTGGTCTGTTTTCAGGATTTAAAACCCTTTCTGGAGGCCTATTTCAAGAGGAAAAACCTGTTGCCGGAAAACAAGAGCCATCCACCACTTCATTATTTGGGACAAAAATAAGTTTTCCTTGGCAGACAGAGCCCCCCAAGCCACAGGCTGTCCCAGTTGTAACATCTCAACCTAAAACTAACAAGCCAACGAGTGGTCAAACACATACTGTACAAAAGGTTGCAACATCCGATGCCCAAAAAACTGAATCGGTGGGTTCCACTGATGATGTAGCAAACCCCCAGATTTGCGTCTCAACTCCTGAAGTAGATCCTTCAGCATCCCTCACCCCAAAGGAGAAGGAAGGGCTTGTAGAAACATACCCCTCTGCAGGTCCTACCTCAGGAATGCAGCTGGACAACCAGTCCAGGAAGGATCTATTGAATGCAAAAAGGCTAGTAGAAGCATAATAAATGGCATTCCCCCTCACCATTTATGATGCATTTATATTTTGGAAAAAAATGTATTCCCTGTTCAGCTGTGCAATCCATCCTCACTAGACCACTAGATTTAATATTTAGCTTGTGTGTGTGTGTGTGTGTGGCATCTACATCATTTTACATGTCACTTCCAAACAGAATTCCAAAACAAAATTGACATTTATATATTCATGGGCAATTCACAAGTGGATTTATTAATTACAGTTCATTAGTTTATTAAAGAGAGGCAATTTCTTGTGCTTCTCCTTTTATACTGATTTATTTGTTCGCCTGAACCTCTATACTAAATCATGTTCATTTTGCTTGTAGTCCTCATTTGTTCTGCTTTTACTAATCATTTAGTAATATCCTCCGTAAATACAAATGTCTCAGCGGATATTTAGCAAATTTCCTTTCCTCTTTAGTTTGTTGGGACACATATTTATAGCCTCAAATATAAGCACGAATGCCTGCAACATTATAAATGATGTAAATTTTGTTTGAGCAAGGAATTCTGATTTGTGTTGTGTTATTGTATGTTGGCACAACTATTTTACAGTTACCTTTGAACATATTTAGCTCATCTGCATTCTGCTCCTAAAAATGAAAGCAGTTATGAAATGACACCATAAAATGTAGAATTTCAAACACTCCACATCCATCTGCTCTTCAACGCCTCGTCTCTATAAGCTTACTTACCATCATACACCGTTTTTATGTGTTTCCTCTTGTGGACTGGTGAAAGTAAAACATTGACAATAAAATATGCAGGTGTATGTGTGTGCAGAAATATACTCTTCTTAGTAATGACTAGCAGGAACACACCACAAAATGGAGCATACTTGTATTTGTGCCATTTCTATTTGAAAATGCAACTTCAATTTAGGAAAAGCATATGCCGAGTATAATGCACATTTTATTATTTTCCAACATGCAACAAGTCTCCCTGCGAGATTGGGTATCTTTTTAGGGCATGATGTGGTGTGTGTAGATGGTCTGCAGATGGGAGGGGCTTATTATAGCCTAAAAAACTAAAGGCATAATTATGTTCATTGTTTTGTATTACATAGCATTGAAAAACTAGAAATGAATAGTCTCTAGTTTTTGATGTAACCATCCCCACTTATCTGTCCTTGGCTAAAGTAAAAATATAAACTACAAAATTATTTACAAATCATCTTTCACCCATGTTTTAATTGAAACAATCTGACATTGAATATTTTCCTCACTCCTCTCTCACCATTGTAGTCCAGTGGAAAGTAGTCGCTTTGGGTCATCAGGAAACCTGAGCCAGACCAGCTCCCAGCTTAGTGAGACTGGCCAGGAGAGCACTGGAGGGTCCGAACTGGAGGAGTCCTTCCACGCCTACCACAGTACCAGCTTTCATCCCTCCACCAATGGGCAACCACGAACCAATGGACATCCTCCCACCAAAGGACACTCGACTGTCGGTGAGCAGCAGAAACATGGGCTGTCCCCTGAAGTAGGAGGGGGCGTGAGAAAGGACACTCCATTAGAGCGAGGTTCCTCTAAACTCCTAAGGTACGTTCTATGCACAGAATTCAACTCGGTTATATATGTGCTATAACGAAGATGCATGGCAACTGAGAAATTGTCTCCATCTCTTTCTGCGACCCTATTCTTAAATCCATGTAACCCAGGTTCCATGATGATGGGCCGCCTTTACCATTTTCCCCATCCAGAGTTTGTTGGTTGAAGGCCATCAATAAAGTCAGGGTTCAGCTCCGGGAGGTAGGCAGCACTTCAGTTCCTCCCCCAATATCTGATCTCTCATCACCTCCTGAAGTCTTACCCTTACGTTCTTACCCTCTTTTATTTTTTCCTACCCTACCACACACACGGAATTCTTTGTAAGTGGTTGAGTTTTACCTTGTTGGTTGTTTAAGACAATGCATAAACTGTGTAAAGGCACAGTACACAGGCAAACCTTTGATAGCCTCTGGGCAGCAACAGTGGAACTACTTGGGATTCAGCACCTCAGAGGCACCCACAAACAATTTTCAAGATGAGTGTATTTCATTTAGTTTCACCCAACCAATTTTAATTGCAAGAGACTTGTCATAAACTCGCTCTTCTGTGCCGCAGCTGCCCAGCAGACATGTGGTCCTCCGTTAGAGAGGTGAGATGGTAGTGTACGGCTGTTCTTAATGTTATTTGTTACTGAATAACAAGCATGTTCCGAAAGGTGTGGTGTGCTTAATTCATGTTGGTAATTCCAAGGGGTAAAGGTTAAAAACAAATATCTGAATACTAAAATTGAACCAAATACCTATCCAACAAACCGAATAACCAAATAGTCTAATATTCGGTTCCAGCCCTATGATACTGTCCAGTTTTTAAGTAACTGGCACTGTGAGGCTAAAGTATAGTGTCCCTCTGTTAACTTGAGTCCATCACTGGATGCCTCAGGGGCCTATAATTTGCCTTAATAGATGGTTCACTCATGGCAGTACTCATGTTCTACTGTGAATGGTGACTCAGTGGTTGTCACTGAGTAATGTATCAGAATTGGTTAAAACTGGTTTTAGGGAAATGCTTGATGAACCAAACGCGGTGGTCCAGGGACAACAAACTTGTATTATCAGACAAAGGTATTGACTCCCATCAGTGATGGATGATAATTTGAAGCCCTTCCTTTCTCTAAAAAATACACTTGTACTTATAGGAAATCATATGTCATTGTTTTGATCTCCATCACGTCATATTTGGCTTTTGGTGTCAGAATCAGGTGCCACGTAGCCTCATATTAAACCAATACCAATCTGGAGAATGTGTATCCAGCGCATGTAAACTGATGTTAAATCTAGTCCTGCATCTAATCGGGAATCTTAACAGGGTGGTCATAATAAAAACATGGGAATCTCTCAGCTCTAACTGGGATTCATCCCCTTGATTAAGCTTTTTATGGCACAGCGGTAAAGAAGTATATAGAACCTCGATTGGCTCCATTATAATGATTGGTTTGCACAGACACATGTACTGAAAGTGATGGCTGATCGAAGGCATGAGTATAAATAGAAAGCAAGGTGAAAGCTGTGTAAGTGTCATTTATTACAGGACGAAGGGGAACGACTGTAATGAATTCAATAACAGTCACCAGCATAATGAGACACTGTAAATCAACCTTGCATGCATGTTTAAATCCAGAGAATAGAATGAGATGTGAGAGCCTCGGGTACGGCATTTTGGTTGGTGCCATCTTGGTTTTTTTGCAACCAGAAGTGACATGGCGTACAACCAAATGCTGAAAAATACCTATTTTGGCAACCAAAATGTTACAATTAACTCTCATGAACAAAAAACACTGTGAAAGGGTTAAAGTTCTAAGAGTGACACACGGACAACTCCCAGACCGGACAGCGGCGTGGTAGCCGCCTGTCAATCACCAGGTTGCCCCGCCCTAAAGCATGGTCTATTTGACTCTAAATGGATCATAATTTACTAAATGAACATCATGCTGTATTAAAGAAGACTTGAAACTAGCGAATGATACCAAAAACTCATGATTACAATGTTTACTGAGGTAGTTTTCTCATAGCCTTCTATACAATTTTCGCTACAATCACCCTGTGATGGCCAATAGAAAGAATGCAAGTTTAAGGCACTTACACATTGGCTTTTAGAAAAGAAATTCCTTCCTCTTATCAATTTTCCATTAACAAGCAAAAAGTAAGCAAAGAAATCAGTAAGTGCGGGTAAACCAGTGGTACTGATATATTGATCAGGGGTTGTTTTCACTTTTTTATGACTAGAAAAGAGAATAATCCAGAATATCAGCAACCGACTGATGTGAAAACACAGAAAAGGAGTATATGTGACTGAGAGCTGGCAGTCTCACAGCCTCAGATCAGCTTTGTGCTGGAATTCATTGCCAGAGGAGAGAAGGAGAGAGAGCAGAGAGAGAATGCGAGAGGGTGGGAGCTGGGAGGGGGAGTAGGGATGGCTATTTAACCGAGAGTGAACTGCTGTGTGATCGTGGTCTGCTACTGTCACGCTTGCCGTTCCAGTGGCAGAAATGAGTGCATCTCTGTCAATTGGAGAAGATCTGCTGGTAGTGATTGAGGCAGAGCACCACTTTTGATACTACGCCCGGGGATACATTTTGAAGATAAACAGGGAAGTTGCTATTACTGATCTGCCGAGCGACCCTGATCTTGCAAGATGACATCTACAGGTTGTTCTTGATTATCATGTTTTCCCCAATAAGGTAAGGCTTACACTTCAATACATATTGTTTAATCATTTTCATCACTTAGTGTCAAGTTTATGTAGACTTTGATCAAACAAAAAGCGGAAATGCATGTTAAACTGAGCAAATTTTATGTTTGGCTATTGTACATAGAAAATATCTTATGTGTTAACAGAATTTTTGTTTGCTAATCAACTTAACAACCTCAAAAGAAAGATGTCCTCTGTCATAGACTATTTAGTAAGGAGAGAAAATAGACTATTACATAACTGTCCTGAGAAAATGAGCCTGACCCCAACACCCCTCTATGTTTCTTTACCCTGGACAGCCAGCTAATTAATCACCGACTATCTGTGTGCACCCATAGCAGATCACGGCTGTCTGTAAAAAGAGCCAGTGGCCCTCAGAAGTGAAGCTAAATGTTTTTTATTGTACTTGGTAGGAAATGTGTTATACGGTCCAGATATTCCTGTTCATATTTGTTAATCAGAAATGCAAGAACATTTTTACATATCTTAATCTCAGATCGTCTGCTTTCCTTTTAGCTGATGCGCTCATCACCTTGATTTCAATTCAGTAGCGATAGGAACCGACGAAACTGCCAGTGAAACTCTTATCAGGCTCAAGTGCTTATTGGAGACCTCCAGTACAGGGTAGGTTAATTTAGTGTATATCAGAATGTAAATGTATATCATCATGTTGTAGAATAAATGTACAAAATATTTGTAGTGAGTTTGTTAATTTCAACAGAAATCAGATTGCATCCTTCATAATCTTTAATATGAGGCAGTTGATAACATGATTGCATGTGTGTTTTGTTTAAGGCTGTAGTTAAAGCCTTTTAAGTCTGAACATTTGTAGGAGACCTCGCTAAGGCTGTAGCCCCATTTTTGGTAACGGAGAAAAAAGCATCTAAAGAAACAAAAAAAGAGATTAGTAGTTAACTTTTGATATTTAAAGTCCAGGTAATTTATATATTATATACTATATTTATATACTTGCCAATTATTATTATTAGTATTTTTGGTCATTCAAATTTGGCTAGATGGTTAATACATTTTTCTGTGGTATGACAAACATATTTATTTTTTGCTTTTCCCAGATTGTAATATTCTTGACATTTTGAACAGCGAGTTTAAGTGTCAAGAAACTCCAAGTGCTTCATAATCACTAGTTCTAACCAATCCTACTGTGTCCAGTTTAAAGCAGTGCTGATCTTTAGGGGCGATCAGCACCATTACAATTTAGAGATTCTCCAAATTTCTGATCTGATTTTCAAAATGGCGATGCTCAATGGACAAAGTTGATATCACTGAGCTGTGCCAAATATATACTCTGACTAAATGGAAGGAGCATGTAAGACATCCATATAATTGCTAAACTTAAAGACTATTGTATGTTTCAGATGCATAAATTAATTTTGATGCATATTTATACTACATATGTTCCTGTAATGATTATGTAATGCCATCAGATACATCTAAGTTGTATTTTTGGGGTATTCAATAATCCTTTTAGTGTTTACACTGTAGGCAATGGCTCAGAGCTACAATGTCAAGCCGTGCAGCTGGTATGGGTGTGAACGAATGACATGGCCTGAGAGGAAAGAATTGATCTATCATCTAATTACCAAGCTGCCTTTCCAGAGCATCCTAATTACAGAGATGTAAGCAGCTGCATGGAGTTGCTACTCTGACTGAGCGGTCAGTTATAGACATTGTCTTTCCTACTGAGTAGTGTAGAATTTCAATGTGACCTCAAATATCAGTAAATGCATTTATAGCCATTATTTAGCCAATGTAGCATTATTTGCTACTTAGTAATCAGAGTGTCAAATGTTAGAATTGTTTTTTCTTTCACAACTGTCTGGTCTGTTTGTCATAGTAATAGGATTTTTGTAAATTCAAAAGGAATGAGAAATATGAATTTGATAACCGAGAAAATGCATTTCTCTTTATAAGTAGCACAGAAAAGATTTTCTTGATTTTGCAGTTGAACACTTAAGTTTGATTGCTATTTCATGGGAGACACATAGCAGAGTAATGGCTTAGCAGAACCAACCAAATGAGATTACAATAGCAACACACAACAAGCGTAGATCAGTTTCCACTGCTTTTTCAACCAAATAACTGTTTGTTTTTTTCAGTACAGGTACTCAGTCATTTGAAGTTTAAAATATTGGCTTATGCTATACACCACCCTGAGGAGGAGTCACTGAGGCAGTGATTTGTCCATGTGCGGGGACAGCTGACAAACAGTGCCACTTCTCAGGGATGCTCCCCAGAGGACACCTCAGTGGACAGGATGAACCCTACGAATCGGAGCTACTCCCACTGTCGCCTAAGAGGCGAGACCTGCAGGAGAAGAGATCACAGAGCCCCAAAGTGGGGCGAAGCCTGCGCAGAAAGCTGCAGAAGTGCCTTCAGGGACCAGAGGACAACTCCCTTCATGACCTGTCGTCAGTGGAAACTGTCTGCACCAAAGCTGACCACAGCAGTTCGGCTTACCAGGATGGCATTGGGGTTGTGGAGGATACTCTACCCAGGCTTATTGAAAAGATCAGAAACATAGAAGAGAAAAAGGAGAGGGAAAATGCGGAGGCAGAGGAAGGCTCTAGTAACACTGTGGACCATATTCTTAAAGAGCTGAAAGGCATCAACAAGATCCAGGAGGAAATTTCTGACCTGAGGCAGTATCTAACATCTGTGCGAGGCTCGGTGGATGAAGTATCTTGTTGTGTTGATGCGGTGCTCAGTGAGCTCTACTCTGGGGCTTCAGCTGCACCTCATCCTAGTCCTGTTTCTAAAACACCACACATCAGGCGAGGAAGCCTGGGTAGACAGAACGCCATCACATCTCTTCAAGGGAGAGACACCAGTCCAATGTTGGATCGCAACGATTGTGGAAAAAATTCAGGACATACGCCATCTCACAGATCACCTAAACAGTGGTACGTTGACAGAGTCACCCTCCAATCAGACCAGCAAACCGACCAACAGAACTCAAAGCAGAGTTCAAACATGCGCATGCTAGGCCCTACAAAGCCTGACCCCTGCTACTTGGAGCTTCATTGTGGCCATGACTACCAAAGCGACTGCTCTTTGTCATCGTGCCACAGTTCCAATTGTCAAGGAGCAAGCCTACTCTCTGGTGACACAGAATATGACAGGTGGCCTTCCAGTGATATGCAGCACAGCGTTAGTGGGGAAGGAGGTTGGAGTGAGGAGGATATCTGCTCTTCTGCGAACAGTGGAGAAGAGCTAGAGAATTGTCTCGGTGTTTGGAACAGGTGCACCACAGAGGAGACACAAAGCAGCACACCGGGTCATTCTTCACACACCAGCTCTGAGCATCTCTCATTGCTGTTTGGACACCATTACAACTCTCCTTCGAGTTCTTCCAGTATGCTTGACTGGAGGCCCCCCAGACTACCAACTGAAGAAGAAAACCTGGAGTGTGACTGTTCTGCAAACTGCCCATACTCCCGTAGTTCTGGTTACCACACCATGGATGCCTGTGCAAATGAACTGGATAATGAGCCCTCCAGGAGTCTGAGTTGCTCCACTGTGCTGTTGACGGACTGTGATGATGGTTACCTGGAGCCACATTCACTGTGCAATGACTGTCCATCGTCCGGTGACACTCTTGATCTGGGGTCTGCTGACAGTTTGGACAGGGAGTGGACCGATCACAGCATCTCCAGGGATGAAGCAGAAGAATCTTTGTCACAAGAGTCTTCTGAAATAGATCCTAATAGTGCAGCCAGGACCCCCAACGTAGGTTTTGACGTAACAACTTTTAGCAAGGCTGTACTCACTTTCAGGTCAGCTTTGAAAGGTGCTTTGAAAAAGTTGGAAGGATCCAACCCTGAAAGTGTTAAAGATGATGGTGGATCAGAAGCACCTCCATCCCCAGTCAGGGAACCCAGTGAGCACAAGGAGGAGCAGGGCGTTTCAGATAATACAGAAGGAGATGTCAGTCTGACAGAGAATCCCACTCAATTTGGCTCTCCAAAGGAGCAGAGTGAGGCTTCGGTCGCCGTGGATTGTGGGGAGACACATGAGGACAAGTCATGCTCCCTTCAAGCATCCCCCCATGAAGCAATCCACTCTCCCTGCACCCTGACTGAATCTCACTCTGTAGAGATTTCCCAGGACGAAGGAGAATATCCAACATATGGGGAACTGTCCACCATTGACTTAACACCAGACAGTTGTCCAGCAAGGCAGGACGAGAGTCCGCTGGGCTCAGGGCTCAGTACAGATGAGGTGCGGTTAAGTCCAATTATTGAAAACCACGTTATTGACGAGGAAAATCAAGGAAAGTCTACGGATGCTAGTCATAAAGAGCGTATAGCTAATTTCCAGCGCATTCTGAGGGAAAAGCGGCAAACCCGTCATAGACTATCCAAATCTGCTCAGGGCTCTCAGGGGTCCCATGGCTCTCAGGGGTCCCATGGCTCTCAAGGGTCTCAGGGATCGCAATCGCAAGACGAGTTTAACCCAGGTATATTCTATACTTCACTGGCAAGCCCAGTAATAACAGCAAAAACATACATCTTAAAGCATGTAATGATCGATGAAATTTGCGTATATAGTGTTGTTATTAAATGTTTGTATCCTTATAAATGTATCTGTTATAAACATTCGTACTTTCTAATCCTACTGTGGATTTTTTTTTTGCAGAATGTGGGGGAGAAGATAATCAGGTTACTCATATAACATTAGCTGTTTAAGTTATTGTTGTTTGGCTGTTGATTTTGGTCGTTTTGGGATAATTGTTTATTTAATTTTTTTCCATTGCTTGTCTTTGTCAAAGGGAGTGCTTGTGTGCACTCCAAAGCATAATGCACAACATGCAAATGATACAAGTTAACTTAGGGTTGATTCTGGAAAGGATATTTGTCCCATCACTTTAGTGTTTCTGTTTACAAATCCCCAGTTCTGTTTCTGGTGCTAGCGTTAGCGCAGCTGCTTCCCCAGAAGTTTATCAGAAACTCTGTCTTTGAGAGTTAACCCCAACGGGATCTCCACAGATATACAGACACAGATGAAAGACTTTTCCTTTGAGGGAAAAGTAAATTAACTTATGTACATATGTAGCCCCCCCCAGTCGTAATGTTGGTGGTTTTACGAAATCCTTAGTGATTTATCTGCTTCTATCTGGGGTGTCTGTTAAAGCAGTCCATGGGCAAACCGATGTGACTAAGGGTTACTTAACCCTAACCCTGTAAAATTGAACTAATCCTGTTGTGTTTTGTCTACATAATGTTGGTCCACCATCGTATTTTACATAACATCTTTTACAATTAAAGAGTTCAGCCACGTTTGTTTGATCTTGTATTTGAAAGGCATCATCACTTTTTTTTTTTTTTGACTTTGCATGTTCTGTAACACCAAGAAGGTCAAACTCAGCCAAATACAACTTTCCATTATTCCAACTTCCCTCTTCTCATGCTCTACTGTGCAATATAATGCAAACGCCTTTTTCGGACGTCAGCCTAAATTCTCACATTTGAATTCTTGTAGGTCCGAGATGAAGAACCCAATGCCAGACAAGCCTGGGTCAAACCAGGGTAAGTCATGTATACAATACTATATATCATTTGGTTTGCTTAATGATTATCATAAGTATTATTTTTGGGGAAATTCCGTTAGTAATAAGTAGCACAAAATTAACCTTTTGATACTATAGTGACTATAATCATTTGACCATTGTGATGACAGTGGAAATGTCCTGCTGTGCTATTGTATGTGGGAACTTTTTATTCACTTTCATTGTCGGTGCATAGTGGCGGATCTGGTCTGTATGGGATTGACAGCATGCCAGACCTGCATAAAAAGAAGCCCATCCCCTTCGTCAGCGACGTGGTCAGTACTAACTTGTCATTCGTTATTAATACCGCATGTCATATGTCATCTTGTTTGTTTTTGTTCTTTGTTTGTTGAGTACACATCTTTCTATTTGTGCGACCACCACAGAAGTCGCAGTTCTCATTTTGAAGACAAATATGAAATCAGCCTGCTAATTTCTCTCTCCCTCCTCTCTTGAACCCAAAACTATTCCCCACAACTCTCTTGAATGCATTCACTCTCCTTGGTCAGGCTATGGTAAGTTAATAGAACCCAGTTGCCACTCCCTTTTCTCCTGAAGCTCAAAATATCAAGTAGGACAAATAAACCAGTACTTGCCTCGAACACGTATTTCTACAGCATGTTGATCTCTTTGATCGCAAACCTCTTGTTTAATACAAATGAAAGCATTTGCATGCATCTTGGTCACGGGTAGCTTTTTCTTCCTACTTGATATTATCATTGCAAAATGTCATCAACAAATCATTCCCCCACCTTTTGGTTTGTATTAACACTTAACATGAAAATGTGTGGTTGATGGTCTTGGTGTTGTTTGATATGAGCAAACATTTTAGCAATCTCCTCTTCACTAGTCTCTTAAAACTAACTACTACTAGTACTACTACTACTACTCACATGGGTCTTCTGATCATCTGGTAAGAATTCCATCAGTGGGACAAAATAATAACCCTACTCACCACCCTTACAACTACCCTAACCACCTTTTTAACCGTACTGACCTTCATTGTTGTCATATTTTGAGCTGTGCTTGGTTGTGGGTTGTGTATGCATTTGATAAATACTAACTTGGCTGGAATTTCCCGTGTCACGTGTTGTTCAGTCTCTCGTCCAAGCCAGGAAGGCGGGGATCGCATCTGCCATGGCCGCACGGTCCTCAATCAAGGATGAGGAGCTGGTGAGTATAATAACGCATTACACTTTTAGTTCAACCCAAGAAAAAATAGTATGATTCAGGCCTCTTATGTTCTTCTAATTCCATGCGGTTAAGGGTGCTATCACAGCTGTAGTTGGGTTCATTTGGTCCACACCAAAGGTGAAAATGATACATTGTTGCATTTTAATTCTGGTGGCACAATGCATATTACTATGGGATAGCTGTCACATGCTCAATTCAGTTGTTCAATAGAGTTAATGAACTGGCTAAATACACAGATTCGGATACAAGCACAGCAGTTTTAATCACGGAAAATACTTAAACTGACGTGCATGTGTTGATTTGCATGAATAGGTTATAGTCTTAAATACAGATCAATAAGGATGGTTCCTGAACAGGATTCCTGATCAGCAAATGGATTTACTAGTTGTTTAGCTTTTGAAGTCAATACTCTACGATGAAATCCTGTGGTTGATCAGTTTGCTTTCACACCACAAAAGAACCGCACCAGAGTCCGCTTGGAAGCCTTTTCAAACGAACCGTACTTAGCAGGGGCAACCGGACCAGAGTTTTTAGTTAGATGTGAAAACTCCCTGAAAGAAAGTGCTCCCCTTCTGTAGAAAAACCATGTCTACAAGAAGACCCTGCAGGCTCTCATCTACCCCATATCCTGCACTACGCCACATAACTTTGAGGTGTGGACCGCCACGACGCCCACATACTGCTACGAGTGCGAGGGGCTGCTGTGGGGAATAGCCCGCCAAGGCATGCGTTGCTCCGAGTGCGGGGTCAAGTGCCACGAGAAGTGCCAAGAGCTGCTGAACGCTGACTGCCTACAGCGTGAGTACTGCCCAGAAAACAATTAAACGTCACATGCGCGATTACAAGTAGTAGTTTTGAATGGATTTTAATCTGTATATGTTTTTTGCTAAATGCATAGGTGCTGCGGAGAAGAGCTCTAAGCATGGAGCTGAAGACCGAACTCAGAATATCATCATGGCCATGAAGGACAGGATGAAGATCAGGGAAAGGAACAAGCCAGAGATCTTTGAACTCATTAGGGAGGTGTTCATCATCAGCAAAGCCATCCACGCACAGCAGATGAAGACCATCAAGCAGAGCGTTCTAGACGGCACTTCAAAGTGGTCAGCCAAGATCACCATCACAGGTGAGATTCGATGAAATCCACCAGAACTTTGAAAGTGAAATCCTCAGCTGGAATCTCAGCAGCAGTCACATGTGCTTCTTGTTAACACCAACGGTTGTTCCTCATGTCTTTGTTCCTCTGTCGTCGCGCTAGTTGTTTGCGCCCAAGGACTTCAGGCAAAGGACAAGACAGGATCCAGCGATCCATACGTCACCGTTCAGGTGGGCAAGACCAAGAAGAGAACCAAGACCATTTATGGCAACCTCAATCCTGTCTGGGAGGAGAAGTTCCACTTGTAAGTCACATTTTTACACACATTGTACAACCCTTTCCTGTGCAAGTGACTTTCTAATGGTGCGAGTGCTATATAACAGGTCAAAGTCTGAAGTTTGAACTCTAAAAAAGTTGATGCTTGCTCTTCATAAACACTAGAGCAACTCTATTGTTTTCTAAGAAATTGTACCCTATTCTTTAGTTTATATATGTGTTAATGTTTTCCGCTAGCGAGTGCCACAATTCCTCGGACCGAATTAAAGTGCGTGTGTGGGACGAGGACGATGACATCAAGTCGAGGGTGAAGCAGCGTCTGAAGAGGGAGTCGGATGATTTCCTGGGCCAGAGCATTATCGAAGTGCGAACGCTGAGCGGAGAAATGGACGTCTGGTACAACTTGGGTCAGTACGCTGTCTAGTCATGGACTCACAGTAGGACGTATACTGTTGGTACAACTTAACACTTGATAGAACTAGGCGATCACTCAATCACAAACCTAGAAACTCACTCAGAGCAGTGGAAGTAGAATAACGTTTTTGCCGGTACTACAATCCCAACCTTCATCGCTTCATATTGTTCAAAACTTTCAAAATCATAACAATTAGTTTTGTTTGAAATTACAACTAAATCCATCTACAACAGTTTACACTGTGTGTGTGTTTAGGAAGTAACGGTGCACACTCGCACCATTATGCCAGCAGATTTACAGAAGTCTAGCTTTGTTTTACCTGCTTCTGTTGGAAGAAAACTGAACATGACACATCGCAACTTATATTGTCTGATATTTTACTTTGGAGATTTTTGCAAGAAACGACTCGCTGTTTGCCAGCAGTAGGCCAACTAAATGGTTGTGGAAAGGCCTGCAGGTCTGTGGTGGGCACAAAACACACCGACACTGGAACAATTTAGAAGAAAACTAGAAGGTCACACGGAGACCGTAGAGACCAAATTTGGAAAGTCGTTCTTCCATCTTCAGTTTTGTTCCTGAGCTTTAAGTTGTAATGTTGTAACAACATGGACGCTACAAGCACGACGTGTTGTATTTTATTGCTTCAACAACACGTTAGCTGCTTCTGAGTTGTTGCGACTTGAGAAGGCGCTCGCGTACATTTTTTTTTTTACGATTATTCCGACACCACAATGAATGCAGGATAGATCTTGCAACGTTAATGAAAGTGGAACATAATGCGCGTAAAAGACAAACCAATAAACCGATCCAAAAACAAAACCTCCTTGATGGAGGTAACAAATGTTAGCAGATTTTTTTTTTTATTGTAACTGAGATTGAAGGGGTTGGCTTTCTGTTGGTTTTGGTAGACAGCTGCCGTCCCCTCTTCCAGCTACTGAGTCTTGTAGTGGTATGGAAAACCAGATCGTCACCGTACCGGCCTGCTTTCACCCCTGGCTTCCTGTTCTTCCTCATTTACCATGTCTGCTTCGATCAGTTCCACTTCCTCTTAACGAAGGCTTAATCTACTTCTGAAGAAGTGTGCATTCTTTTCACATGCGTATGTTTCCAGAAAGTCCAGTCAGATGTTTGTTTCAACCTCATTAGCCACGTCTCCTTTGCCTGCAGGTAGCTTTTTTTTTTTCTTTTTTTTTTTTACACAGGCATTGAGTGGCCCCAAGGCCCAAATAGACCTGCATGAAAATACCTGCACTTCCTTTGCACTTGCAAAAAAAAAAAACAACCTTGTTTCGTGAAAACCCCCCCCTCTTACATTATGTCATGTTGCTTTGATTGATCGCTATCCGTTAAAAGCACTCCATCCTCCCGCCCATGTTGTATGTGAGAGTGAGGCGTTCACTGTCTTGTTTCCACTTGATTAAAAGTGCTGGAAATGGCACTGATAAATCTTCCACTGGGACAGCACTGAATATGAATCTGCCGAATAAATCTGCTGTTGTTTCTTGTCAACTGGGGAGACATGAAGTGCTCTTTTATTAGCACTTAGATTTTAAATTTTACTTAGATTTTAATATCCCTCTGATGATCACATCAACAAAACATTCCTAATGTTAGGAGCCGTTAGCAAAAGGAATGATGATCAGTCGCGTAATGTGCGCTTTGCCATTTCTATCTTCTTCCGTACAATCTCCCCCCTTCTACCGATGTGTGATTATCAAGAAGCAGCACTCCAGTCCCCCCCCCCCCCCCACGACACGTACAAATTAGCCTCAATGATGCGCCTGTCAGAGCAAATAGCAGGGGTGAAGTGTCTTTCTGCGATCAGGAGCACATCCACACAGCCCCTCTGCCATTGTCTCCCTCACTATCAGCCAGAAGACTTCTATTAGCGTCGCCGGCTCTGCGCTGCCGTCAAACCCCTCCCCCTGCTGTAATAGAGCTGCCACGGTAATAGTCTGTAATTAGCGTTATGTTAACAAGGCAGGCTCCCGCGGGCCTCCCGTGTCACAGATTGGTCCTGGGAGTTATGAGTCGTTGCATCTGCATGATGCGTCTTTGTGTTTGAATTACAGAGAAGAGGACGGACAAGTCGGCCGTGTCGGGGGCCATTCGCCTCCAGATCAACGTGGAGATCAAGGGCGAGGAGAAAGTGGCTCCGTATCACGTGCAGTACACCTGCTTGCACGAGGTATTTGACTCTCACATCGCTGCAGGGTCGTGGCAATGACCTAAACACACAGGATATCAATCGAGCCAGAAGTTGTCGGCCCCTGTGTCAGTAAAGCAACAGCCATCTGTGATGTGGACGGCTAGAATTACATGTAATCAGGATCTGGATCAGTGATTTAAAACGGGATTAAAATCACAAAAATACGCTTGGAACAGTTACATAATCCCACTTTTACCCCCGGAAAAAACAACAACTTTCCATGTAGAATTTTGCATAGGTTTTACTACCTCACACACCTCACATATCCTGTTTAAGAACCCCTGAGCATAAACCTTCACATTCTATATCGTATTTTGTTCAGATCTACAAAGGGCATTCAAATGACCCAGTGTCTTTGTCCGTCGCAGAACCTGTTCCACCACTCGACCGACATGCTCGGCCAAGGCGCGGTGAGAATCCCGGAGGCCCGCGGGGACGATGCCTGGAAGGTGTACTACGACGACGTGGCCCAGGAAATAGTGGATGAGTTCGCCATGCGCTACGGGATCGAGTCGATCTACCAGGCCATGACGTGAGTCGGAGAGTCTTTCTAGCTGTCTGTGTTTGTCCCCAACACCCCCCCCCCCCCCCTTTCCCGTCAGCCTCCAAGTGAAAGAAAATCAATTACAAATGTGCTGAGGATGGATTTCTCTCCATGAGATGTCACGCTCCGACATCTCATGATGAGATGCCTCTTAGCCGGGGGCCATTATTCACAGAAATCACACTCCAATGGGGCCACGCCCTTCAGCCAGCTAAACTGACGGGCAGATGAAACGAGCGCTCCTAACAAGACCCCCGAGGGGACACAGGGTTCGACCGAACAAAGGGGGCGCAGCTCCTCGCGGCGTCTCTCCCACATATGCTTTGACAAAAAATGACGTCGAAATGTGTTTTTGAAGAGTGACGGGAGGAAAAGGACGGCCTGTCGCCCTGGTCTTTATCAAGCTGTCCCTGTGCTCCCCTGTCTCTCCAGGCACTTTGCCTGTCTGTCGTCTAAGTACATGTGTCCCGGGGTTCCCGCCGTGATGAGCACCCTGCTGGCCAACATCAACGCCTTCTACGCCCACACGACCGCCTCCACCAATGTGTCCGCCTCAGACCGCTTTGCTGCTTCCAATTTTGGGGTTTGTGTTATTGTAGCATCACACACACACAGGCAATAAGTATGTCTTGTCCCTGTGTTTCTGTCTCTCTGTCTTTTTCCTTCCACTTCCTGTTCTCACTATTTTCTTTTTTTCTTTTTTTCACCACACAGAAAGAACGCTTTGTCAAGCTTTTAGACCAGCTACACAACTCCCTGCGCATCGACCTCTCAACCTACAGGGTAAGATTGGGATTGTATTCAATAAATATCACCGCCATTAATGACTGGTGTTGTTTTTCAAAAGTCATATTGTTGCTCCAACGTTGAAATATATCGTTATCCACGTCGAAAATGTTGTATTTATTACTCGATATGCAAAGTACCTCTGCGGTCTCTCGTTTTCATGTATTTTGGGGATAAATTACCCCATTTCACCACAGAATTTATTATACTATTCTACTACGGTAGGTTATTGTGTCTGCTTGTGTAAAGTTAAGCAAACGCTTACATGGGAAAAATCTAATGTTTTATTCGATATTTTGTGACTCACATTTTGAATTTGTCATAATTTCATATCACTTAATGTCCGTCTGCATATACAAACTGTGACAGTAATCCTATTTACAGTTAATAAACAGCAGTGGAGATGGCCTGCTGCACACCTGTAATATTTCTATTGAATTGTATTTAAGTGAATGTGTGTCCTCTGTAGAACCACTTTCCTGCCAGCAACAAGGATCGCCTGCAGGATTTGAAATCCACCGTGGACCTTCTAACCAGCATCACCTTCTTCAGGATGAAGGTAGCTAACAGCGTTAGCGTTATGTATCTTCATTTTTTTCTTTTTCTACTGTAGGATCTCAGCAAATGTTTATCAAATGATTTTTAAAAGGAACACTTTGCCATAGCTCATTTAGATGCATAGTATTCCATTTACTTTCTGTAACTTCTTCTTTGCAGATTTACCCTGTTGTCAGGTGAGTGTCAATAATAATTTTTGCAGTCATTCACCACCCGTGTTGCTATCTCCCGTCTGGTGGTCAGGTCCAGGAGCTGCAGTCTCCGCCGAGAGCCAGCCAGGTGGTGAGGGACTGCGTCAAGGCCTGCCTCAACTCTACGTACGACTACATCTTCAACAACTGCCACGAGCTGTACAGCAGACAGTACCAACCCGTCGACGCGGTAAGTCGCGGACCAGCCGCCCGGCTGTGCGTCGCTAAGTAAAAGCGCCACGAGGCTAGATCTCTCTCTGACCCGTGTTGCGTTATCACACAGAACAAGGAGGACCTCCCTTTGGAGGAGCAGGGTCCGAGCATCAAGAACTTGGACTTCTGGCCCAAACTCATCATGCTCATCGTCTCCATCATCGAAGAGGACAGGAACTCCTACACGCCTGTGCTCAACCAGTAAGCAATGGGCTCACACACCCTCTTATCTTTTACTGCTTTTATTTGAAATAGCAGGAAATACACTGAAAAGTCTGAATACATCTTGAGTTTTCCTGTTATTCTGTTCTTTCAGATTTCTTTTAAGGCTCAGTTCCAAATGTTCACAACACTTAATCATTGTCAAATTTTCAGGTTCCCCCAAGAGCTGAACGTAGGGAAGGTGTCAGCGGAGGTCATGTGGACATTGTTTGCTCAAGACATGAAGTATGCTATGGAAGGTAAGTCAGATATCCATCAGCCCACTCATGACCACTTGTTGTGTTGTATCGACCCAAATCTTTCTTTATTTCAAAAGTCCTTTAACACTACATGTCATTCACATGTCACACCTATTCATACACTGGTGGCACAGCCTTCGGGAGCAATTTGGGGTTAAGTGTCTTGCCCAAGGACACGTCGACATGGACTCGCGAAGTCGGGGGAGTTGCCGATCCTCTGATTGAAGGACGACCCGCTCTACTACTGATTCAGCCATTTTTTTTATCGGGAAAACATTAGGGGGTTGGAGGGAAAGAACAAGTCGAAGAGAAGCTCTGATAAAGCTGGAAATGAGAAGAAGACCTCGCTGTGAAATATCTCTTTCACATACCGCAGCCCTTTCATTTCCAATCCGCATGAATATAAAAAGAGACGGAATGAGTCCTGAGAGATTTTGCTGAAGAAGTACTACCAAGGAATACTTAAAATTTAAGAGCAGAAGTAGTTTTTAGTGGGTCACTAAAAAGATACTCAAGTGCCTGGTTTGAATTGAGCTGATCGTTACTATTGCTGCAGGGCTGCAGTCCAAGACCAGGTCCAGTCCGAATCAAGACCAAGTCCAAAGGCAGTTAAGACCAAGACCGAGTCCAGAGCAAGGATAATAATCTATCTATAAACAATATTTATCAGTCTTCTTACATCAAACTAATCAAAAGACGTTTCTACTCCAGGACCACCTCCAATGTCCCCACATACGGGCATTTTCATTCAATTTTAATTTTCTATTTATTCACCGAGATTACTATTATTACTATTATCATTATGCAAATAGGATGGACGCAGGAAGTAGGGATGCTGCACCACATCCTAAAACAAATGACTATCAATTGATGAAGTTGAAACTTAGTGTTAAAGTAGACTGTTCTTGGTGGGAAAGAGGATTTGCTTTGTTTTTGTGTCTGTTTATTATGATATGCATTAGTCCATTATTCCTTATGGTGCACGGCAGCATTGAGAGAGAGACGGACAGAAGTGTAGACATGATACACAAACTTTCTTTGGTCAGTTCCTACAAGTCTCTACTAACAATGACGAACAGAGTGACAGCTACTCATTACTCATAAATGATGAATATCCGGTCACTCCTCTGGTCCAGGCACCGCCTCACTCCGCCTTCTTCTCCTTGCATTTCTTGCATGGAGAACTACTTCTTTTTTTTTTTCTTTTTTTTTTTTTTTTCTTTTAAGCCGTGGAGGCCAAAATTGCCTTGTTGATTGCCGCTGTTGAATGCAAATAAAAGAAACGCTGTGTTGGTACAATTAAACAACATTTTGTACAACTGATCCCAAATCAGCAGCCAGGAACAACTGGACCTATTCTCGATAGCAGAGCCCGGGACCAAGACCATTCCAAGTCCATCAAGGGCACGACACCAGAACAAGTGCAAGACTTCTCGAAACCGGACTCGACTACTACAGCCCTGTTAATGCTTATGCAACATTTTTCCAATTACTTTGAGCGAGTGCATCTTTAGCTCATGTGAGCAGAGCTCAAGTTACGTCAGTAACAGCAGGTTTACTCATGTAGTAAGAGAAGATTCGCTTCTAAAAACAATGCCTTGTATTAGCTTTGCAGCCAGTATAGACATTTCTTTCAATGCATATACAGGCATGGGAGTATTAAAGACATACTCTAAAGAATGTGAACCTATCTTGTCGTCTTGAAATTAGGTGCAATTTAGCCTTGCACGACCATTACGTCGGGAGGCCTGTGGGAAACACATTAAAGAAAGCGTGTTCTAAATCGTGATGCGGAGGTCTCCTGACTTTTAGTCCACAGTTACGGCACAAATACCCTCGATGTTCCCCATGATGCAACTCAATGCTGTGACACGACCTCATCACAGCCTCTTGTGTCTTTTGTATCTGCAGAGCACGAGAAGCAAAGACTGTGTAAGAGCACCGACTACATGAACCTGCACTTCAAAGTCAAGTGGCTCAACAATGAATATGTCAAGGAGCTGCCAAACTTCAAGGCCGTCATTCCCGACTACCCATCGTAAGTGCTATTGACTTATTTAAATTACATTCATTTTCCCAAAACGTCTTTGTGATTATCGTATTGATTGATTGATCCATAACCTAGGTAACAGTTAAGGATATCATACCAATACAATATAAATCAATAAAAAGAAATAACTCATCTTGTCTTTATTTTCCCTTGCAGATGGTTCTTACAGTTTGTGCTACAGTGGTTGGAGGAGAATGAAGATGTATCCATGGAGTTTATGCATGGAGCCCTCGAGAGAGACAAAAAAGATGGAGTAAGAACATTCAAATTGCCCCTATATATGTTGTTACCTGTTCAAGAACTGTTGATAGCATGGATGTTAAAACGCCCACAATCCAGCCAACAGACCCCAGTAAACTTGGCCTTTAGGGTTGTAGATCAAATCCTTGGAATATAAAAGGGTTCTCGGTAGAACCCCTTGGAGGGATTCTAGATGAAACCTTTGGAATTTAAAATAATTTTTGTTGGAACCCTCTGGGCGAGTTCTAGATACAACCAAGGGTTCTTGATAGAAACGCATCTGTGGTTTCGAGGATGAAACCCTTGGAAATTGAAAGTGTTTTTTGGTAGAACCCCCTCTGTGGGTTCGAGATAAATCCTTTAGAATACAAAAGGGTTCTCGGTAGAACCCCCTCAGTGTGGGGTATTGTTAGCAGTCTTAGAAGGTGGAAAGGTTCGGGATAGAACCTACCAGAGACGGTTCTGGGTGGAACCATTTCACCAAAGAAGAGGTCTTTGTAGATCATCTCACAAAGGGTCCTGGATGGAGCCTTTCACAGATGGTTCAAGGTACAACCCTTCATGATGGGTTCTAGGTAGAACCCTCTGAAAGTGTTCCAGGTGGAACCTTTCCAAAAGGTTCTACCAGGATCCAAAAAGTGTTCTCCTATGCGGACAAGCCAAAGAACCCTATATGGTTGTAGTAAGGACCTTTACTTCTCAGAGTGTAAGTGCTGTTAATGTAATTGTTTGTGTTTCTTTCCCTTGCCTCAGTTCCAGCAGACGTCTGAGCATGCTCTGTTCTCCTGCTCTGTGGTGGACATCTTCACCCAGCTCAACCAGAGCTTTGAGATCATCAAGAAACTGGAATGTCCCGACCCTAACGTCATGGCTCAGTACAGTCGCCGCTTCTCCAAGGTACACCCACTGCACGGGATGGTGACAATTTAAAAGCTGCTCCCAAGTACAACACACAGGATTTGACTTTGACAACTGCACAGAGCTCTTGTTTGTAACTCGGGAGCTACATGACACGTGTTGTGGATGTGGGTCTTAAATTTCCATAATTGATAATGAATTAATTGCCAATGATCACAAAGCAGCTTCTCACTGTGGTTGATATTAGAAACAGTATGAAGATATGAGGTGAATTACAAAACAGCATTGTCTGGCCTCTGGAGGGACATTCACTTTTTTTTTTTTTTTTTTTTATAAAGGGAATTTGATATTTCCTCATTAAAAAGGAATGTTGAGTTGGACATAACACTCCCCTCCTGGGGGACTGAGGGACAGCACAGTTTTGTGCTTTGGGATTTGCTGTCCTGCATGTCAAAGAAGAGACTACAAGACGTTTGGGGATGTTTGTAATATAGCAGTTAGGAGAAATCTTTCGGCCATACTCTAAAGTCCCCTCTGGGAATGGTTTTATGATAAATAAGTAATTGGATTTTAAATTGTTTCAAATTAAATGTTGTGTCATGCTGTTTTAATGCTTTTCTTCCTCTTCATCTATACAGACTATTGCCAAAGTTCTTCTGCAGTACAGTGCCATACTGACCAAGAGTTTTCCTACTTATATCGACAAGGAGAAGATTGTAAGTTGTCAACACCGTTACCATCAATTTGTGATTTACATACTAAGATCAGGCATTTTAAAGTCACTGCCGTGGTTTAATTATGAATTCACATTTCCATTTTGAGGATAGTTTTTACACTTGACAAACCCTCCAGTGGCTCCACCATTATATTAACAAACTTCTTTTTAAGTAATACTAGTGTTTCCAAAGTTACGTAATTATAAAAAACTAAATATTTTTACACAGCAGTGATTGCAATCACTTGCAGATACTGCAGAGCTCCTGCTACATGTGTGTAACATCTCTGTGTATTCTATGTCTGTCTCTTCCCGTGTCCTCTGGCAGCCATGTGTCCTGTTGAACAATGTGCAGCAGTTAAGAATCCAGCTGGAGAAGATGTTTGAGTCAATGGGTGCCAAACAGGTAAGACAGAGGGCGTGTCATGGATCGATGACAATAACAGTATGAAATTATGAATCCCTCAATGGCTCAAACAAAGAAACACAAACTGCCTAATCAACTCAACATTTCTTACTGAAGCATGAAAAGTGTGTCTTCGAGAGGCGGTTGCTGGTACAACAGCTGTATTTGTGTCTCTGGTGTATCAGATTGCAACAGAAGAAGCACTGGTATGTACGGTACTGGTAGTTGAGACCATGTGAAGTAGATTCGCAGTAGCAGAAGTTGTTTGAAAGCTCTGGGTTTTAGATGAAACCCTTGGAATTTAACAGTGTTTTCTGAAGAACCCCCTGGGTGGGTTCTAGATGAATCCACTAAAATTCTAAAGGGTTCTCTGTAGAACTCCTTAGGTCGGATCTAGATGAATCCCTTGGAATTGTTTATTATTTAGATTTTTCTTTTAGTATGTAGTGCTCTATCCTATTTATTGTGGCTGTAGTGTTTTATTATTTAGATTTATTGTTTTTAGTATGTAGTGCTTGGTCAGCTGTAGGATTGTAGCGGTTGGATACTGTAGCTAAAGTTTCAAGCAATGCATTCACTTTACAATTAAAGCAAAATGAAGTGGTGGAAGAGGAAGAAGAGGAGGAGGAGGCGGGAGAGATGGAGGAGGTAGGTTTCCATCGTGGTCCGAGCAGAGCGGATATTTGTTCATATTAAAGCACATCTTTTGGATGTTTAATCAGTGTAATGGTGCGTGGTGCGCCGCTGTATTGATTATCTTCCTCTTGCTCTGGCTTTGACAGCAGGTCGTGACTGAGGATGAGGAAGCGAAGGCTCTGGTTGGTACTGTGGGCGGTAGCAGATTAGCTTCACTGATAGTAGACTGGTAGATCCACAATCTTACATAGACAACCCCTCTTTACAGAAGCCTGTTATAGTCCGTTCTAGTCTCGTAACTTTGCTGACGTTGATGGGAGTAAACCAAGTATTGGACAGTAAGAGCTCTGACCTGATGGTGGCGATGGATGGAAAGTCGGAATTTGCGTACCAAATTTGAAGGCACTCTATCCAACAGTTGTTGAGATATTTCATTCAGCACCACGAATATCAGCTCCATGGTGGTGCTGGGGGAAAAAGTGAACAAATTGCTGCTTTCAAAATACAAAAATACTTGAACAATGGTCGGAAGTTGGAACAGTTACTGTACTGCTGATGTAGCTAGCGATCCCACACTGCACTCCCTGGGTGGATCATTTATCAGAATAGTTTTTTTCCTTTCCTCCTTCCTTTGACTCAGTTTCTCTCGAATTTAGTAATGTGGGAACAAACTGAATTACCACGACGTCAGTAGTCCATCAAACTGATGGTCATTTTCTTTTTTGGATGACGCCTATAGAAAAAAATCAATCTACAAGTTTGTTTTCAGCTGGAGCTAAGGCTAGCTGAGGCAGCGCAGAGTATCTACGCTCCCAGGGTCCTGTGTGACACACCAGGGGGACGTTTCAATGGTGTCATGTTGTCGTCGAATGATGTTTTCTCACTAGGTCAAATGTTCCCTGAGTCAGTGTGTTGAAATCACCCGCTTGGCTTATAGCTTACTGATGTTATACTCCTCCGTACGCCCTCAAATGTGCGGGAAAAGGTCGTTTTCTTGGCTTCTGACATTGATATCCCCGCAGTGGCTGAAAGGATTCTTACCATTCGAACCGTGAAGATAGCCCTTATTAATCTCTTCCAAAGTTAGTTTATATCTAGAGACACGCATGCCCTGGGAGCCTATGGTTGTAGCTAGTTTGAGTGTCTCTCTGTGGCAGAGAGTACAACGGTAGCTTTTAACTCAAGTCGCACCAAATATGTAGTTCCTGCGTTTTAACCTTGCAGGGCCTCTTAAACTTAAATGTATTTTTTTTGGCAGAGTAAAGTCACAATCCTGTTTTTTTTTTTCCTCTCTTTTCTAGCACAACGATAGAATGCTAGCATGGCAGGCAAGTTCACCGTACATGCAAACATGTTTCATGAAGCATGTTTGCATGTACTCAAATGTCCGTCTCTCCGAATGAAATATTGCATCACTTATGTAATATTTTGTTTCTGGAAAGAGAGGCATTGAAGTCACCTCGAAAGAGCCAACTTTGTTGAATATAGTTGTGTTTTTTTGCGGCAGCGAGACTAAATTATGTTGTGTTGTCTTTTCGCTGCCACGCCTAGTTTGAGGAGAGTGAGGAGGAGGAGGAGGAGGAAGATGTAGGGGAAGATGTGGAGAAAACAGAGGTTGAGGTTTGTTGCAGTCATCCTCAGGAGTCCCTGTGCCCTGTTGTTCCCACTCACAGCAGCATCTCAGTGACACTCAGTCCTACTGACACAAGACGTCCCTGTGGTTGTCATGGTTTATTTTAACACGTCATACGTGGTGATTTCCACCTTTTTTCCCGCTCTTTCCGTGGCGTTTTCCTTCCTCAAAACCGGTCACTCATTTTCCCTGAAAAAAAAAGTTATTTCTGAACTTTTTGTTATTTTTCTTTAATTTGTGTTCCCTTTCTTTGTTGTTTTGCAATAGACTGACAAGGAGAAGGTGGGTGTTACAAAAATCAACACGTGCTTTCCAATGTGGAAAAACCTGCAGTATTTGTTCATTTCAGTTTTAATTTCAAGTGGCTTAGAGTTACAACAGAATGTTCTTTTGACAGTTAATCTTTTATTTTTCCTTTTCTTCTTTTTAAAAAATTAAATCTCAAAACATTCCCACCACGCAAAGATGGATGAACCAGTGGCAAAGGTAGGTCACGGGCATACCAAGCGTCTGCTGCCACAGCACTTTGTGTGACGGCCGTGGATCCTCTGTGGTTCTGTCTTAATGTGAATTGAAGTTAATCTCCAAATGGGAAACGAGTTAATTGAGGATGTCCTGTGTTGCCCTCCACCCCGGCCGTCCTGTCATTCAGAGACAGGAAGTAGAGTTTAGGCGCACAGACTCATGAGTATTAATTTCCCCCCGTGCCCGCACACACACACACAAATGTGCTCTCAGGGCCAAACAGAACACATCCAGCATATTCCCTTTGTGCTGCGCAGCAGAAACCTCTCAGTCTTTTCTCACTAATGCCCCCCC